ATTTTCCCCAGTGTACCTGAAGACCTTCCACACAAGAAGAAAAGCAAATATAAGATCATGGACTCATCACCCAGGAGCCCCAAACACTGGCTCAATATTGTGCTGTGTGTTTTCTGTTTGTCCCTCCAGGGCCACTCTTCACCCTTCTCCACCCTACTTTCTGTCACAGAGGCTGACACATCAAGTGGATCCTGTGGCCAATGGGGAGCCCTGGTAGAAGGTTAGAGGGAGAGGACAGTGATGTCCAAGTACTATTACTCTGGCTCTCTTCCTGCAAACTCCAATTCATTTAGATACAATATGATTATATTTCTGAAATGGAACCCAGGATGGATTTGGAACAGAATGGGGAAGTTGAGGGCAGTAAGATAGAAGTAATGAGACCGATGAAGAGACTTTTTGTTATAATAGTACATGTTGAGAAGTAATAAGGGCCATTAGGAATACACATTCTTTGAGGGTTGGCCTCAATGTTTTTATCTCCCTGTCCCCAATGTCTAGTTCTGCTCCCCGGTGTAGAAAATAAACTCAGCATTTATTATTTAAATAAGAAAGGAACATGTAAATAAGCGAAGAATAGGAGCCCAAGGTTTACCTTGTATCCGTTATCTTCTTTGCGGTTGTGAGATGCTGTAATCATCACACCTGCAACTGCTTTGAGCTTCTGGACTGCATATGGCTGAAAAAACAGCAACAGCATAATTTCCTGGCTACTCATACATGTGACATTAGAATAACTAAATAACAGGAAAAGACATCAAGATATAAATAGCCTACAACCTCAACCATCAACTCTGGTTCATTGGGTGGGGCCCATTTCTAAAAGGTCAACAGTAACCACCTGTTAGGCTGAATGGCTTTTCCCCGCTAGTCTCATTTAACTTAGTCCTATGTTTTTTATTACTTTGTTCATTTAACAAACATTTAATGAGCATCTACTATATGCCAGACACTCCACTAGACTCTGGAGATATGAGTGATGAATATAATCATAAAATGTTAGAGCTGGAAGTCAATTTAGAAATCACCTAATCCAAAAAATTTTACACTGAGGTTTATCCAACATTATACAATCATAAGGGAGGAGATTCAAGGGTAGAATATAGGTCTCTTGCCTTCCAATTTGAAAATCTGGAAAAAAAATTGGAAATCTGTATATATACTCTGTGGCCTCTATATCATATAAAGGTTAACTCACCATCTTTGTTGTCAAAGTTAATGCCTAGAGGTTCAGTTTCACTTTTTCTTTGTAGGATGTTCCCTCTACTCCTCTACCATTACATCCAACTTCTCTCCTCCTGGCCATGGAGGGATGGACACGTGGTCCAGTACTGACCAGAGGAACTTATCCCTTGATTTAATTCAGAAACTGGTTCATGACGCAAGCCTCTCTGGTGAAGGTACACAAGGAGGACTGCCTTTTAACTCAAGGTTATGTTGATAAAGGCTGTGAATCTGGGACTGCTAAAAATACCTTCCCTACCAGCTGAGCAAATCTACCTTCAATAGGAGAGGAAGGCCACACAGGGATTGATAGAGTTGGGACTGGCAACCCAGTGGCAGAATCCTATAAAAATGTTCTAAATTTCTGGATCCTTCCTGGTTTCTGTAAATCATTAGAACTAATTATTTAACAACTCCTTCAATTCTTTGAGCCACTCAGTATTTTTCCAGTAAATCACTAGTTACCATTTATAGGGATATTATCTCTTCCTCAAACATTTGGTAAAACTTGCCTATAAAATCACCTGGAGTTGGCATATTTAATTTGAAAAGATTTAAAAAATATATCAGTTTAATTTCTTTAGTGGTTAGACACTTATTAAGGTTTTCCATTTCTTTTTATTTATTTATTGATTGATTGATTTGTTAATCCTCACCCGAGGATATTTTCTTTAGAAGAGTGGAAGGGAGGGGGAGAGACAGAGAGAGAGAAACATCAATGTGAGAGAGACACATTGATTGGTTGCCTCTCATATAGTGCCTTGAGCAGGGCCAGGGATGGAGCCTGCAATTGAGGTACGTGCTTTTGACTAGAGTAGAAACTCGAGACCCTTCAGTCCGCGAGCCAATGCTCTAACCACCGAGTAAAACTGGCTAGGGCCAGGTTTTCTATTTCTTAACAGTTTTGATGTATCAATTACTATAGGAAATTGGGAAATTCATCTAAGCTTTTACACTTATTTGCATTATGTTATTCAGAATATTGTGCTTTTCTTAATCTCTACTGTATTTATTATTTTTCTTGAGTACACTTAAAGGTTTGTCTATTTTATTAGTTTCTTCAGAGAGCCAACTTACTCTTTTGTTGGTACTCTTTTCTTTGTTTCCTATTTGATTTTCCCTATAGCTTTATTATTTCCTTCCTTTTACTTTATTTGTATTTATTCTGTTTTCATTCTAACATACTAAGTTCAATAGCTTAGCTCATCATTTTTAATATTTTTTTCCTAATTTATTCACAGACTATAAATTTGCCTTTAAGCAGGGCTTTAGTTATAGCCCATAATTTTTGCTACTTATTGTTGCTCAGTTTTAAATACAGGCAGTCCTTGCTTTGTACAGTTCCAATACACACAAATGTCTGGCACCATGCTTTAGGTAAATAATCCTAGTCTTCTCACAACATGTTTAAATTTCAGTTACTATGCTATAATAACTATAGCTTGCAAAAATGGATAACTGAAAGAAGGAACTAGCCAACAAAGATGAAAATGCAGCAAAAACACAAAAGTGATAATGGTGGAAATGAAATTTGAATTGAATGGCAATGGAGTTATAGGAAAAAATAACTGGGAATGTTGATAACACTGCTGTCATTCAAAAGACTCTAGATCTGCAACCAGAAGAGCCTAGTGAAGGCGAACATATGGATTGAAGTGAGAGCTATAGTTATGATGAAAAGGATGAAGATGTCCCAGAGGAAGTGATACTGGCAAAAAAAAAAAAAAGGAATTCTCAGAGAGAGTTCATAATATTGAAAGCACCAAGGATAAAATGTGGGAAGCTGATCCAAACTGAGGAGTGTGACAATTCACTAAGGCATAGAAAAGATGCTCATCATATTGTTAAGGGATATGACAAGAAGCAAGCACTGGTCATACTCTTAAGTTATTTTACAAAGGAATAAAACACTTTAGTCCTCAATATTTTAAATTACAGTGTACTAAATAACAGGTTTATTATTTTTTATTTTCCCTATACATTTTTAAATCAGTTAACTGCCACGCCTCCAAAATGGAAACCATCCCCACACGCCCCAATATTTTGAATATACTGAAACATTACATTGTTTACAGAAGTATTTGGTTTCTTTTCGCTGCTTGGTACCAATACTAGTAGAAGAGCACACCAAATGCCTTTCCACGTAGAGGTTTGCAGCTATAGACGCGCGCGGCATGTGAGGAAGGTCCGCCGCTTGTGTCTACAGACGCTTATGGTGTACAAAGGGACCCAATAGTAAGGTTTACAAATGTTTTAATGTTTTGACAAAAAATTTTAAAGTAAGGGTTAAGAGTGTTTCTATGTTTTGACAAAAAAATTAAAGTTTACAGAACAATTTTCCCCATTAATGATTTAGCTCGATTTCTATGGTTTTACAGTCCTGCGCCACCATGCAAAGCAAGGATTGCCTGTAATTTTTAATCTTCACTATGATATCTTCATAAAAGTGTTTTAAGTGTTTTTAAAATTCCAACACTGGATTTCCCACTTCTAATCTTATTGCATTAGGGTACAGGACTATAGTTTAATAAACAGTTCTCTGGTATTTGTTGAGATTTCCTATATGATCCTGCTTGATTAGAATGAACATCCTACCATCACTAAGTACAGGGTTTTTACAGAGAGAGAGAGAGAGAGAGAGAGAGAGAGAGAGAGAGAGAGAGATATCAAACATACTAACAGTGTGTTCAAAGCTATCCTTAATTGTTTTTGCCTGTCTAATAAATCAATTTCTGAAAGAATAGTATTGCCCTGACTGGTTTAGCTCAGTGGATATGGCGTCGGCCTGCAGACTGAAAGGTCCCAGGTTCGACTCCGGTCAAGGACATGTACCTTGGTTGCGGGCACATCCCCAGTGGGGGGTGTGCAGGAGGCAGCTGATCAATGTTTCTCTCTCATCGATGTTTCTAACTCTCTATCCCTCTCCATTCCTCTCTGTGAAAAATCAATAAAAAATATATATATTAAAAAAAAAAAGAATAGTATTAAAATACTCCACCATGACTCTGGATTTGTCAGTTTGTTACAGATCAAATTCTTACTTGGTTTAGCACATGCTTGTTGAATGAAAATAAATTCAGAGCAACACTGTTTTCCTTTGATTCTTCTTTTGGCACCTCATATCACTTAACTGACAACTACATGCAGGACAAATATTTGAATCCTGGTTGACTTAAGAAATCTCTTCCAGAGCAGCAAACTGTAAGATTAATAACACAACACACTTACTACAAAAGGTGTAGGAACATATCTTGAAAAAAGGTACACAGGAACATCTTTAGCCAATAAGACTGCAGCAGTGAGTTTAGCAAGCCTAAAAAAAGAGAGAAAAAAAGATTTCACTTAGTCTTACCATACTTTCTAGAAACCTAACTTCCATAATAAATGTTTCCTATTACAATTATTCTAAATATATGATATCCTAACATAACCAATTCCTATAATCACTGTTATTTAAGCTTCATGCTCTAACTTAAAAAGGTTAAATAAATGAGATTTTTTTTAAAGGAGCTTAACAATAAAGAGAATTGACATTTTAATTTCTTTTTTCTCATTTATCTTTTGATGGCTCTTTTACTAAGAAATAAACCCCAAAAACGTAAAAATAACAGAGAAAAGTGAAATAAGAGACTTTAATAAACACAATATGCATAATTACCCCCTGGAAAAATAAGATATCATGATTATCTATGTGTAAAAATACGCTAAAACTATTCAAATGGGACTACAATGAGAAAATATAAGCTACATCATTATTCCTACCCAGTGCCTTGGTCAAAATAGAAAATCATAAAATAAGCATGATGCCGTTCTAAATACTAACTCTAAATATTTTTAAATGTTGCTCCTTTCTGTAAAAGCTAAAGCTTATCTTTGAAATGCCTCTATTTCAGCTCTAAAATAAATATTAGCATATGATCACATTTCTTATTGACAGTTTCCTCATTCAGATATCCTGCTACTGGTGGGAAAAATTAAGGTGTTTTCCCCCCAATCCATATTAATCTCTGAAACAATGAACACTGTACCTCTGGCTGCTGCAGCTGCTAGTTACTTGCCCCCGGGTATCATACCCGACGACAACGCCTCTCTGCTTGAAGTCTGAGAAACATCTCTCCAGGTATTTGTACATCCCCTGAAGCAGAAAAACACAAAACATTAGCTCCTGACTAATGCCTGCATTTTTCTACGATTTAAAATCTATTATTTTTATGGGCAGTGTGCAGTTTATGGGAATCTGGGAATCTGGCTTCTGCCTTTATGCCCCAATGTGGAAACAATACTGTTCAATCCTCAAAGGTGAGATGTCAAACATTTATTTCCCAGAGTTCCAGAAACATTTAATACCACAAAAATCATCTTAATTTACTTAATTGTAAATATTAAACCCGATATGTTACATAAAACACGAAGGGGGAAAAATATGGGACATGCTAAAAATATTGTTAGAAGGGCCAAAAGAAATTGTTTCTTGCCTTAAGGCTTAGAGAATAAAATTTTGACCATTTTAGGCCTTTCTAAATCACAAGACGAAAGCTAATCAAAAGATTTCACTTATTTATGACACATTTTTAATCAATAACATAAACCTTCATTAGAACATTTCTTAAAATGGCTTATCCCATTTGTAATTCCTTAGTCTTAAAAATCCCACAGAAAAGAAAATCCTATAAACTAGGACTATTAACAGTCAAGGGTGACAAAAAAATGAAGTATTTAATATTGAAAACATCATGAAAATAGCTAAAACCATTTAACTATCTTATGAATGATTTGCTAACATTAACACTTTCATTTCTAAAAATAAATCTATATAATAAAAGGGTAATATGCAAATTGTCCCCTTGACCAAGAGTTCGACTGGAGTTTGACCAGGGGGCGGGGCTGGCCTGCCTACTGCCCTGGGGCCCCTCCCCGCAGCCGGCCTTGTCCCCAATTGGCCCTGATTGGGGTGGGCCGACCGGACCCCACCCATGCATGAATTTGTGCACCAGGCCTCTAGTATTTCATATTGTTACAAGTTCTTTAAGACTACTTTCACAAATAGT